TTGAAACACTGCCTCCCTGCTCTATGCATCAGCTCAGAGCTGGAGTTGAGAGGAAGGGAAAGTACAGATCTGCAAGCCATAATGGGGCTGGAGAGGTTGCAGAGGGTCCTGCAGCAGGGTCAGCTTATGGTTAGGGTTAGACTTTGGGGTAGAGTTCTGAGAATAATGATCCTGAAAAGATTTAACATTGAAATATTGCTGCAAGTCCACAGTGGCTGTGAAATCCATTAGCCAAATTTGAGTGAAGACAAAACCTTTCTATTGCTGGCAACCATTAGCTGAGGTGAATAACTCTGGTATTTGTTTATAACTTGAGGATTCCAAACTGATAATCTTGGTGAAGGTTTCAGAAGTGTCTATATATTATACTTCAGGCTTGGGCATACACACAGACACCAAAAACAAAACAAAACAAAACAAAACAAAACAAAAAACCCACACAAGAAATAATATGCATTTGTCAGATAAAAGAACATTCTAACTGAAAAGGTCAGTGCTTACAAGTTAACAAATTAATGCTGTCCGTGGAATATAAATTTGACCCTGTGATATGCATGCACTGTAATTCAGTCCTTAAATTATGTACTCACATACAATTTTTCAAACACTGAGGGCTTTTTGTCTTTCAACTACTATTAGTCTAGCTCTGTGTGTATGAATGCATGACTAACATAAGCTGTCCATACATTCTAGCTTATTACTGTACCACTCATTATAAATTACTTCATTTGTTTTCTCTTCTCTGTTCCCAAACAACCCAATTTAAAGGTTACAACTGAAAAATACTTAACAGGGAATCAGAAGCTTCAAGAAAAAGAATTTGCCTCTTAGAAAAAATGGGAAGAGAAACAGAGAATCCTGTCCCACTCTATAACTAAATGTATCAATAAATAACTCAGTATTTTATGGAATTGCAGTGGAATGTCTAGGAGGCCAATATCCGCCCAAGCTAACAGTTTCTTCTTCTCTAGAGTCATGACCAGAATAGCAAAGTTCTGTCAAACATCAAAGGACATCCACATGTCCCCATTAATAAGCAACTGGGACCTTCGTTATGAGTCACGTAAGGCTGAGCTGCCAGATAAGTGAAACTTTTTTTTTATTACCATCCTCTACTACTGCTTCCACCAAACTAAAAGGAAATGCATTAGTCAGAAACTGCCTTTAAGAAGGGCTCAAAGGCCCTTGCTGTCACTCTAAAGCTTCCGAGCCTCCTGGAGGACTGACTCCAGGATACACCTTTCAGGAAAGCATCGCTTTTCATTGCTTGGTTAGCAACATCAGAAATGCGACGATGGTATTGATGAAGAAATAATCAGAGCGGAGGAGATTTAGGACTTACTTAAGAGAGGCTTAGGATCAGTCTGTCTCATGATATACAGCTGAATTGAGCTCTCAAGGATTAGCCAAAGCCAGCGACAGTAGAAAGACACTGAAGCTTCAGACAGAGCTGACCCCTTTTTTTTGGTAGCCAGGCAGTCCCCAGATCAAGGCTACTTTACCAAGAGACCACGGTTTATATTCCGAGAGAGGCAGCAGGCCCAGCAGCACCACGAGTCCTTTTCCAGCCACCCCGCAGCAAGGGCGAGCAGATGCTGATTTGGTGCTGGAGATACTTCGCAAAGTGAATCACCCACCTTGCAGCAGAGCCCGTCCGCATCATCAGACCCAGCCCCGCTGCGGTCGCTACCACCACGACGGTAGCAGGAGCCCCTCAGCTGGCAGGAGAAGAAAGGTGGAGCAACGGCGGCTTCTCGGCTTCCTGCTCTCAGCTCCGTGGGTCTCCCTCAGCTTGCCTGGCACTGACTGAGCTCAGCTGCACAAACTGCAGCTGTTTTCACTGACTTTCTGTCTGCTTTTTCTGACTTCTCCAACTCATGAAGAGAGCTGCCACCAGAGGGACTTAGCCCTGTTAGGAGCTCTGCAGCAGATACTTCCCAGAATCCAAAGATGACCTCAGATCAGGGTGCTGAAATCAAACAGACGTCTCCCTGAGAGGACTAGCACGGCTGGGGTAATATCTCAAGCACTGAGCTTACAGCACATTGTATTCATTTAATCCTCTCGCTTAACATGAAAAATAGAAAACCCTGGGCTGAACAGTAGCATAATTTGGTAACTTCTTGAACAGGCCTGAAAATAAAAATCTGCTCAATAAAATGTTGCATCACCCAAAGCATTAATTAAATTCAGGAAGAGATTCACTAGAAACCCTTAAAGGAGTTAGCTTAGTAATTGCAATGCAAAAAGGAAGCTGGGTGACAGCCAGCGATGAAGCTAGAGGACATGTCACAGTTGCCTCATGGGCTACCTATTGGCAAAATATCTTTATGCTTATGAATATGGTAAGACAAAACTACAGAGCAGGCAGAAGGTCTTGCCTGTTACTAGATATTACAGTAGCGGAAAATAATTCCGGCTTTTGAAGCATTTTCTTGACCCACACTGGTACCTCTCATTTTCGTGTTTACTCATCGACCAAGAAGAATCACTGAACAGAAAATCTGGTCACTGAAAAGTGATCTTTGCAACAGCTCAGGCTGGCTGGTTGGTTTGGTTCTTCTAAAAGCAGAGAACTGCATTTCTGGGAAACTTGTGAGGCGTTAACCCAGAATAAGGATGGAAACGGAGCTACCTCTGAGCTCAAGAGCTGCAGGTGTCAGCCGGGAGGCAGCAGGGAGCCCGGAAACTCCTGCTGTGCCGGGGCCACCGCTCACTCGCGGTGAGCAAGCCAGGGCCCCGAGCAACCCCCGAGGAGCCTGTGCCTGGCAGCAGGTTCCACCCCCTGCCCAGCGCGTTGGCGCGCGGGGAACCGCGGCGGCACCCGCGGCCTCGAAAAAAACCGGGGGAGGGGGCGGGGAGCGGGGAAAAACCACGTTGTTTATTTTAACAAAATAACTAATACTTTTGCATGTATTTTTTATAAAAATGACTTCAGTCAAAACACACTTAAAATGCAGGATCGTTTTTGACGAGCTCTGAAGATAATCTCGTCGTCCTGCGACAGTTCCGCTTTTAGGTAATGAATTCATCTTGCAGCCAAACATGTAACTCTGGCTCCCAAAATTAATGAGTTCTGATATGCAGTGAGGAAATCCTCAAACCCGCATCCCTGGCAGATGAATGTGAAATACGTGATGCGCAGATAAGGAAGATTAAAGTCTGTCTCCGCAGCGGCGCAGGTCTCCTCTGCCTACCTTTTAGGCTGACTTTGCAGCTCCAACATAAAAGAGCTTGGAGACTTCTGGTTGTCATTCATTAAAGTTGGGGAGGTGAGGTGCAAACTCACTTTTCGCAGACACTTGCAGAAGCGGCGTTTGGGGGTGTTGTCTTTTCTGGCACAGGGGAGGGGGCTGTAGGCTCTCGCTGGCCGAGACCGCCTGGGTGCGGGAGGCTCCGAGCGGGTGCTCGGGGCTGGAGGGTCTCTCCAGCGTCGCTCGGTCTCCCACCCGCTGGCCGTGCGGACGCTCACCCTCAGGTGCTGCGGGCAGCCTGCCCAGCACAGCCCTGGCAGCACCTGCCTCTGCCCAGAGTTTCTGCTTTCTTCACCCTTGGGGAGGCACCTCACGTATGTCCAGCCCCAGAACGTGCCTCCAACGAACTCATCACAGAGCACAGGCGTTTGCAAGGAAAGCTCCTTGGCTGGGAGTGGTGATAGTAGCTGCTCTCTGCAAAATAAACTGAAAATAGGCCGCAGTGCTCTTTTGCTGTACAGGTTGCAGGTCTGGTCTTCTGGCGTGAAGAGTTTGAAAATGTTAACAGCATGCAGTGAGGAGATGACCCAGGTGCACCCCCACCCCTGCTGTCTTTCACTACCTATGAAATATATGCTTATTTAAAGGCAAACTGGCTGCTTGCATCCCCTTGTCCACTTTGCAAACCGTCTGTAGATGTATATGCTGGTGCTGCCACGCAACCAGCAAACCCATCCCAGAAGCACGCGGAGATGGGCTGCTGGGACACGTATCAGCCGTGCTGCCAACCTGTGAGATGAAGACGTGCGGCTTAACACAGAGGACAAACATGCAGCACCAGAAAAACCCGTGCGGCTTGTGCTGACAGTCTGCCCCGCGTCCCCAGAGCCTTCCAGTTTGAGCGGGAAGGAAGGACGCGTTGCAACACAACGTGCCTCGGCGCAGAAGAGGCCGTGTCGCAAGCAGAGCAGGACACCAGGGTGCTGCCCCAGCACAGCTTTCCTTGGGGAAAGGGTATTCCTCATGGCACCTATAAACACCCCCTCTCTGCAGCACGGGTTTGCCTGGCACCCGAAATAGCAGTAACCACCTCAAGAGCTCCATTCCTAGTAGAAAAGGTTCCTGCTTGTGCCTCCAACTTATTTCTCCTGTCTCCAACATGAGTGCATTACATGCGAAACGTTCAGGGTGACAAAGTCCCTACAGATAGAAAGCACAATGTTCCCTGCATGGAATGTTTTATAGCAGAACAAAAACTGGTGGCATGGAGCAGAATTTCAAGTTTCAGCTTCTCCTGGGCTCTTTCCTAGAGTCCCTGCAATTGCCTGCTTTACAGCAGCATTGAGTGGTAAATTTAAGAATACCGTAGCATGCCAAGCAGATACGGGGATTATTTCTACTCTGTGGCTACGCATGTAGATTTCTCACTGCCTAGCACAAATTATTTTAAGAAATCTCCTAAAAATGAGTATTTTAAAATAACCTATGCACATAACTGGCCCTAAAAAAGACAGATGATGAAATGCTCTTACAAAATGAATCTTTAAATTTCAACCTAGTGGAGCATCAAATGCACAGCAAAGCCAAGTAAACACCAAGAGCCGCACTCTCCCAAAATGTATGTGGTTTGGAAACCTCTGTTGTTGTTATATCCAGGATAATGATTCATCCTCCCTGTGGGATTCTGGCTCGCCTCTGCACGTTTCGCAACACTGCCTTGCTTTATAACAGCGTGGCCGCACACTGTGACTCCCTGCAGATCTCCCGGCCCGCCTGCGAGAGAGGAGGCAGCTCCCTCTTCCAACCATGGTGTTCTTCATCCGCCAGGTCTTCCTGCTGGCCATAGACTTACTGCTTGCAATGACCCTCTCTTGCCTCCTGTATGCCTTTGTATGCATTTCCATTGCACTTCTGGCCTGCTTTGTTATCTTCTTCTCCTTTGGATTTGCGGAGAGGAACATTGATGTAAAGGGGAGGGCGATTGTGATCCTCGTCTCCAACAGCTCCATTGGAAGGATGTTTACAAGGAACCTGGATAAAGCTGGTTTTAGAGTGTCTGCTGCGCACTGGCCTCCTCAGGCGGGACGTACAGCTACGAAGGAAGAGAGCTCTCCTAACATCGACATGGCACAGCTCCATATGACTGATGACGAGTATAAGACGACAGTGAAAAACTTCATAGAAAGCCACTTATCCCTTAAAGGTAACCTTTAGGGCAAACTTGCGGATTGTGACTGCCATAGAAATCAAAATGTACAGGACTGAGAGCATTGTAGTTCACCAGCAAACTAGGAAGGCAAGAATGCTTTAGGAAACGGGCCATGAACATGCTAGTTGCATTGCTTTTTGTTGTGCAAAACAAATATTTTGCTTTTTCCAGGGCAAAGATCCTGCTCTGCGACTGTGAAAATCCCCAGTAGACTCCAGTCACGAGGGGAAGGTGAGGTAGGCCATGAAATGAGCAGGAGAGAGTCCCACCAAGACACAGAAAACTTGACTCACCGTGGGGAGGGAGCACAGGAGTGACAAAAGTGAAGCAGAGACCTGAACAGATTCATTAAGAAACCGCCAGGTCAGAGGGTTGACTGACAGGTCGAGATTTCTCTCTGCACCTCATTGTTGTCATTTCTGCTGGCATACTGGATTGAACACCACCTGCAGACCTCCCCTGGGATAGCATGTGAGGCAAGTGGCCTCTTGAGGTGAATTTCTTGAAGCACTTGGGAATCTCTCTAGGTCTTTCTAGGTGTAAGATCAAAACTGCTAATGAGTCGGCTGCCTTGCCCTAGCGTAATTAACACTGCTAACCAGGCACCTGTCTGTCTTTGCAGCTCTAATTTTATCCCTCTCAGGAATGACAGAAATTTCAGCCCCAGCTCCTACCATCTCATGGGCCCCATGCCCATCCTTGGGCACCTCCTCAGGCTGGTGCCTCCAGCACTGAAGGGGAGGGCTATAATGTCAGAACAGAAAATTTTCCCTGTGCTCCCAGGCTCTGTACGGGAAAGACTACTTAGAAATTACAGTACACACCATGAAACTCCCCCCCGCACAGATACCCATGCAGAAACCCAGCAGGAAACAGTAGCTCCTTCCTACCTAGTCTGGCTCTAACACTACTCTAGCTATCGGTGGCCCCATAGGACAGACCATTTCCCACAGCTTTTCTCCTCAGCAGCCTCCAGCGACTCGTGTCTGTGGACAAGGCCTTGCAGCTCCCCAGCCCTTCTTAGGCAGCAGGGCTCCTCGCAGCAGGTGACTGCAGGGGCTGGTGCTGCCCTAACGCAGTGAGGATCTGGCCCAGTGACATCTGTTCGTTCAGTTTTGGGTTACTTTGATCTCTGCGCTAGTTCTCTTGCAAGTCAAGTCTTTCGTTGTTTATTTGTTTGTTTGCTTTTGAGTCCTCTACTGAGAGATCTGTGAGGTTTTATATTTAGGATCTCTTGCACAGAGATCACATCACAGATGTGGATGTTAAAATGTATTTCCCATGCACTGACCCAGTTGCATGGCAGATCAAAGCACTGTGTCAGCAAAAGAAAAAAGAAAACTTCTTAACAATTTGCTTGGATTTTCTTGCTAATGGTTTTGAGTGCTGCTATTTATCCCACAAAATTTGGAGAAATATTTTGGCATGGGTTGGTTAAATGTGAACACCTGCCACCAGTTGACTGATACTAAAAATTTACTCTTTTTAAAAATTTCTTTTGCACGTTTTATATGTATGCAATTTTTGGTTTCCAAAGATAACAATATTCATGCCTGCTTTTGTAATTTGTTATAATCGATCCCAATATGAAATTTTTACTCCTGTAATTCTGCTAATGTAAATATATTTGCTTTATACAAACACAGCTTCTTAAATGTCTTCCAAAATGACGCAAGGCCAGAGTGCCCAGTTCATTTTAGAATTAAAAGGCTTATGATGATTAAACTCTTGTGTTTGTTATCCTACCGCAGGCCCATGTATCTCTGTTTTAAGGTATGCTACCAACTCTTGGTTGGTAGCAAGATGAATCAATAGAGTATTTCTAGGCGCAAAGAGATCTTAACATAAACATTCAGATAAGCATAAGTCAACCCCCTCCAAAGTCATAACACAGGTTTTGTGACAGCTTCATCAGGTTCATGAAAAATTTGGGGGTTTTCTGCCTTTTTTACTTCAGATGAAAGATTTAGGTCAGATGGTCAAGTGCTCTCTGTGACCAAGAGAAAATAAAGGGAGAAAATGAGTCTTAATTGCTCACCTCCAGACATAGGCTTATACCATCAGACACTGCGCAAGTTCTTGGCATCGTGTCCAAGCACTCTGGGATCCAGCTGCTTGAGAAACTGCTGTGCCATGTTTCTCCTTGGGCATGCTGCCTGGAAAAGCTGGCATTTGCTTTGTGACCATCAGTGTTGACTGCAGCAGGGGTGGGGCAGGAGGAAGAAGGGGAGACATGCAAGGTCCAACTGCCTGACAAGCTAAGCAGACTTAAGAGGGGCTCTGACCACCAAAGCTCTAGTCTGGCTAGTGCTGTAGCCACAGCTGCCACAGTGCCTTGGGCTTCTGTTAATTGCACACGCAGAGCACAACAGGCAGGACTATGTGAAATCAGTATTTACTGTGTCGTGCCCAAAGGCTGGCTGCCTTTGTCTTTGCTAAGAGCAGCAAGGCCCACAGCGCTCTCGGTGAACCTGCCCTGGCAGCCTATACACATCCAGAGACCTGGGCTTAAACTGCTGGGACAAGACAGGATGAAGAAACTGCTGCTTAACATCTAATCTCAGCCTACTCACCACGTAGAGATCATTTGAACCAAGGTTTGTTTAAGCTGTTTCAGCTCTGGTGTCTTGACAGATCCTGTCTTCCAGCTGCACCCAAAACCTCTGGTGTCTTGACAGATCCTGTCTTCTCCTTCTGGTGGCTTTAATCTCCTTTGATTGCTTCTGTACTCAAGGCTGAACCCTGGCAACCTCTGTAGCAGCTGCTGGCCTGTGGATCACCCACAGACACAGAGAGCAGCCGCGGTGGCACACCATCCTGGGGACATACAGCTCTTCCTTTCCACCCTTATTCCAGGGACTGCTTAGAGTTACTTTCCCACTATCATGCTACATTTTCCTCAACTCCCTTCATCTCTGTCCCTCTGCTCACACTGTGCTACCAACCATCATTCATCCCAGGTGCTTCTGTCTGCTTTCCCTTTCCTTGTTTTTCTTTTACTCCTCTGTAATGTCTCAGGTTTCTGCAGGAGAGATGACATTCAGCGTGAGAACTGCCTCTGGCTGCACAGGACACCTTCCCCCTGTTAAGTCAGGTCTCTGCTATGCTGAAGCTGTAAAAACCCTGCTGATTTCATAGGGCCAGGATTTCATTCTTGTCCTCTCATCTCCACTAAGATATGAGCCCTATGGAATTCTTTGGTGTTTTATCAGCTTCTCCCTTCCCCTTATCTGTTAAATAGAGATGACAATACCTTCCTTACACAAGTCAGGAGATAAGTGATGCAAATTAATAAAGTTAATGCCCGTGTTATCTTAAGCCCCATTATCTGAAAGATGCTTTCTCACCCTGCACTTCACAGTGGTGTTTCAGATCAGCAGAAGTGCTTGCTCCAATAAATTCATTCTGAAGACTCCCAGAGGACCTAGCCAAAGCTGACTATGCAACAACTGTCCTGGTCAGGGATGCTGGGCTGTCATCCCTGGCCACTGTTCTCATCCCCATGCGACTGCCAGCAGGGTGACTTTTATAGTCACTTCTTAAGTCAGTACACACAGAAATGACCTGGATCACTTGATCAATTTAAGTAAGCAGGTTAAACTAGTCCAGCTGATTTTTTCCCTTCGTGTCAGGGGACATTCATGCAATCTTTTGCAAGCAGAGCAGTGGCTGTGGCAACACTACCAGCAGCAAGTACAGCTAATGCTGGGGAAGGGACGGGGCCCACAGCTGCAATGGCTTGTTAAATGCTGCATCCCAAGACGCTGACAGAGCAACATGGAGCAAAGATTATCAGCTTTTCTGTTAGCCCATGTCCTCTTGGGCTGTCTCCACCTCTTCTGAAGGAGAAGCCGTTCTTGCTGCTCTGTTCTGCAGTTGGTAGGAGCGATGGATGCTCTCCTGGTGCTTTCATTTGCCTTGCACCTCTCCCTCCGTATCCGCCTGCTTTTGGTTAGTCCTTGTTTAGTTCATGGAGCCACTGTCATGGCTGAGATCAAGAGCGAGCCTGCAGTGCAGTGTGCTTCAACAGGAGAGAGTCATTTAAATGACTCCGCTCTGCTGTGGAAGCACTGTAGGGTTTTTTGTATGTGTTTTTTTTTTTAATTTTGTTTCCTGAGGATGGCAGTCCCATAGATCAAATTGTTTTATTAGAAGCTAACCCTTACTCATTCACTTTTCTGTGCTGCACTTACCTGAAGATAAACAACCAGAATGAACGCTCATTCCTAAATTCAGAAAAGAGGAGTCGCAACAACCTGCCAGGCTCACTCACAACAGAGACCAATTGATCAAATGCAATAATCACCGACTCCAATAAACTAGCAGGCAATAGGAATTATGAATGAATAAGGCAAATGAAATCATATACTCATGCAACTTTAAAGAGTGCTGCATTATTTATCTTGGCTTAGCTACAACAACTCAGGCCACCTTAGATAAATCAGGCCATTTTCTAAGAGGTGAATGACTATGCTTGGCATTATGAATCAAATTATTAATATTTGTAGCTACGCCTTTAATACATGTTATGCAAAAAATGTCTTTGAAAAACTGGCCTTCAACTACATTGCCTTCTTTTCCCCTGGGATTTTATCAAGACTAGAGAAGCACTTTGATACAGTCACCATCAGGTCTATGTAACAACCTAGACAGAGAAAACAGCTCTCAATTTGATGCTATAGGCTGGGGGGAGCTATTTTAGGATGAAGGAGTGGACTTCCTATCCAAAGCTCTTTTTTAAAGTAAGAATCTATGCATCGTCTATATTCAGGGTACAGTGTTTCCCCCAAAGGAGCTATGCACCTACAACTTACGGTTTTCCATGTGAAGCCAGTTCGTAATTCCCTGAAAGGATTTTGAAAAATCTCTCATTTAGAGAGACAGCTCCTTTGCCAAGAGCCAAGGACCCTGGCTGTACACCTTAAAACCGTGATTGAAGTTATATTGCTCATAAAAGCTGCAGCAACACTGCTCCACGTCCATCTCTTGCTCCT